AAAAAAAAAACCAATAACTTGGAGACAGAAGTTTCCAGCTCTTGAAGCTAAAGGTTAAATTTAGAAAATTAAAGTATTTATTGTTTTGAATTTCAGAAATAATTTAGTTGTTTTTTTTAATCACGTGACACCAGTTCTCTGTTTGCACTCATTTTCTCTGTACTGTTGGACAATGTTCACTCACCTGACTATAATTGTCCGTAGGGATTGGCCATGGCCTTGAAAAGGAGACGGACGACTTCTCCTTCTAGCAGTGTGAGTGCTGGAGATTTTGACGATAACCAAACTTCATCCTTAGTGTCTTCAATTGGGAGAAAGAGGAGAAGGACCTCAAACATGCCAACTGTGGATCCTGTAATTTTATAAATTTAAGTTACTTTGATAATTTTTTTTAACCTAATGCCTACAATTAAGAGATGTTCAAAGCAGCTGATGATGATTTGATGACGATTCAATATTTTCTCGAAACCATTCTTTGCAGATCGCTGTCTGTCACGAACTGTACAACACAATCAGAGATTATAAAGACGACCACGGCAGGATGCTGTGCGAGCTGTTCATCAGAGCGCCGAAGAGAAGGTGAGGAGAGCGGCAGGCCGTTATTTGTAGAAGCCGTGGAAAACGATGACATTCACACGTCTGTCATCTCCTCAGGAATCAGCCCGACTACTACCACGTGGTGTCACAGCCTATTGACATGATGAAAATACAGCAGAAGTTGAAGATGGAGGAGTACGACGATGTGGTGCAACTGACCAGTGACTTCCAGCTGTTGTTCAACAACGCCAAAACATACTACAAGGTAAAAAATAAATAAATAAAAAAATGAAACATCATGAGAATGTCCACCAGAGACCAGTGAAACCGTGTGCTTGTGTCCAGTCTGACAGTCCAGAGTACAGGGCCGCCTGTAAACTGTGGGACCTGTACCTGAGAACCAGGAATGAGTTTGTTCAGAGAGGGGAAGATGATGATGATGAAGAGGAGGATGGTTATGATGCACAAGACAACCCTGGAGGAACGAACGAAGACGAGGTGACAGTGACTTTTCATGTTTTGCTTTACTGATTTGTATCACAAAGAAAAAAACCC